TTTACATTATTCATATTAAAATGATTGTATTGATTTTTTTTACTAAATCTGCAATCACTTCTAAAATCTTTAGATAACCTGTTCTCTCTTTACTATTGGTTTAGGCCAAACTAAAAAAATACATAGGGTTTTAGGTTTGTTTGTTTAGTTTTATTGCTAATTTTAACTCATTTTTGGTCATATTTCTGCATTTGGTGCATCTAATCGGATAATTAACCAGTATATCTCGACATTTGGTGCATCTAACCGGATAATTAACGACTATATCTCGACATTTGGTGCATCTAACCAGATAATTAACGAGTATATCTCGACATTTGGTGCATCTAACCAGATAATTAACGAGTACATCTCGACATTTGGTGCATCTAACCAGATAATTTACCAGTATATCTCGACATTTGGTGCATCTAACCAGATAATTAACGAGTATATCTCGACATTTGGTGCATCTAACCAGATAATTAACGAGTATATCTCGACATTTGGTGCATCTAACCAGATAATTAACGAGTATATCTCGACATTTGGTGCATCTAACCGGATAATTAACCAGTATATCTCGACATTTGGTGCATCTAATCGGATAATTAACCAGTATATCTCGACATTTGGTGCATCTAACCAGATAATTAACGAGTATATCTTGACATTTGTGCATCTAACTGGATTATTAACGAGTATATCTCGACATTTGGTGCATCTAACCAGATAATTAACGATTATATCTAGACATTTGGTGCATCTCACCAGATAATTAACGAGTATATCTCGACATTTGGTGCATCTAACCAGATAATTAACGAGTATATCTCGACATTTGGTGCATCTAACCAGATAATTAACGAGTATATCTCGACATTTGGTGCATCTAACCAGATAATTAACTAGTATATCTCGACATTTGGTGCATCTAACCAGATAATTAACCAGTATATCTCGACATTTGGTGCATCTAACCGGATAATTAACGAGTATTTCTCGACATTTGGTGCATCTAACTGGATTATTAACGAGTATATCTCGGCATTTGGTGCATCTAACCGGATAACAAACCAGTAAAAACCAATTTCTCTACAAGTAACTGATCACTTATCCCACAATGATTTCTAATTCAGCAATGAAAGAGACAAATGACTATTATACTATATGTACTAGATCAACTGTCCCAGAAAGAACTTTTGCCCCACCAGAGGATCAAACCTGAATGACCCCTGGCTTACAAATCCAATGCTCTCCCTAGTGAGCTAAGCAGAAGGACGTATGGTTCTAGATCTTATCAAATATTTGTTTATGAATTATAAAGCAAACACTTTATCAATTCACTCCTATCATATTCATGGGTAGAAGTTAAAAATGTCAAGTCCTCGAAAATATGAATTAAAGCAGCATGCCCAGAGATGATAACAGAAAAAATATATCATTGTATAAATTTATTTAAATTAAATTTTTTTATTCAATTATTATAATCGGAGAAACAAATTGAAATATTACTTTAAACGTTCATATTTTCACATTTTTGCTTTGAAAAACAGACAGTCCACTTTTCTGCAATCAGGATTTACCTTCTTTATTATTCTACAGAATCTGAACTTTTACCCAGGTTATATTTAGTACCTTGTGATGGTAGAAGACAATATTGGGATCCATAATCCATCAGAATAGTATTTGTTATCTACTTGAAATTAAGTTTTCAATTTCTTTCCCATTGTAACATCTGGAGGTGTGTTTATTTTAAGTATTTTTTCAACAGTTTTATCTAGAAAACAAGTTTTTTTTAGGAATTCTAAAATTTTAAAATTAAGGAATATAGTCCACAAAGTATATTTCAATTTTAGGGAATTATGCAGATGCAATTCTGTAAAGGACTTGCTGTAGTTTAAATTTTAAACTTTCCAGTTTAAGTTAAGAATTTCACATATAAAATGTTGAAATTAAACATTCAACAATAATAGGAACAGTAAAAGTCTCTTGTCAGACTACAGGGGCCAAAGATTTTTCTAAAACAGGAATAATTTTTTTCAAATTGCAAACAACTTCTCTACTTTGGTCAAAGGTTGGGAAATTACTTATCTGTCCTTGATTAAAATTCATATACCCAAAAGTAATGGGGAAAGTGTATAAATGTATAATTTCAAGCAAGTATAAACTTAAACATTTGTTGACCAAAATTCTTTCTTATCAATCCAAGTATTATGCTTTTCCGAAGTGCATAGTGTGTTTTTTAAATTGCCTAACTATAGGTTATTTTATAACCTTTTACAGTATATAGTATATAATGTTTTCAAATTTATTTAATGTAACATTGTCATACAAATAAACTTAATTTCTAATGTTCATCTTGATATCCCCATCATGAAAAGTAGACAAGTCCAAAAATGGTTACTGGGCATGTTCATTATACAAATTTAGAAGATTAATATTCAACTTTGCGGCACACATCTGTCACTGACATTAATTTCAAGAACAAACAAAAATGTACTTAAATTTAATTTCTTTATTGCAGATATAAAAGCATAAGTAGGAGCGCAAATTTCTTAATGTGAAAGCCCTAAGCTTAGGGTTAAAATCTTTCAAATATTGCAGCTATGAAATCAATGCATTGATAACAAAGTTTGCTTTTCTCCATTGATGATTTGAAGTCTAGCTATTCAAATCTACTTTAAAAGCATTAAACGGGCATAAATAACATCAACATGTATTTTTGTATACAAAAAAACCCCTGTCTTTTCCCCCCTACATATTCACTGAAAAGTTATTGTAAAAAACGACAAGTTCTAAAAATAAACAAAGTTGCTTCATCTAGAATGGATTTATAAAATCAAATTTTCCTCAACCTTAACCCTGTTAAATTTCTTAAAGGCCCATTATGCCCATGAAATGCTTTTATTTTATTTCTCAAAAGCTTTGTATTTTTGTGCTCTATTATACATGTTATTGTATCTAAAAAGTTACTCACTGGCCAATTACCTTACTTATCTATTGCTTCTGTTGCATTTTGACAGTTAATAAAGTAATAGTGATTTTGTATGGAAGACAAAATACTGCATGTATTTTGTTTACATTTTGCTAATTTTATGAAAAATAATTTCACATACAGTGCTGATCTCTAAAGTATATGTTATAAGCATTTAACATGCTCATGTTATAAGCATTTAACATGCTCTCAAAGTGTTATAAATCATTATAAAACTCGTTTTCACCATTTCTGAAAAAGAAAACAATTATTAATTTCTGAGGCATAATGTGCCTTTAAATGGACCTCTCTGACTTCCATTTTAAGAACTGTCCATTTTCAATGTTAGGGATATCAAGATGAAAGTTAATGAAGTTTGTCAGCCAACAGTAAAGAGCCTGGTCAGTTTGCACAGATGTAGGCTGGCCTTAGGCTCTATACTGGTGGCAAGGGTCAATCATATTCGGTTCCAGATGAGTATAATGATTGTCTGTTCCAGAAGAGTACAAGCCCAAGTAAAATGGTTTCCTGCGGTGAACATTTTAATGATATAAAGATATTTCATTTAACTATTTTCAACATTATTTGGGGGGGGGGGGATAAATAAACGTTTGTAATAGGAATATAGTTGACAATAATCGAACAATATAGAAGAAGGTCTTTGGAAACTGCATGTGACCGTTGAAGACCGGAGAAGGTCGAACATAAAACAATTATTTCTTTTTAAGAAAATGATTAAATAGGCCTACCATTTTATGAATAATTCCGAGCAAAAAAAATAAATAAAGTAAACACACAAGTTTACGCAGAAAATATCTCTTTTTATTATGGCAAATGCCACTACGAATATTTTCATTTTGCAGATTTTCAGTATAAACAATTTATTGTTTGTAAAATTTCAGATAGATATTAAAGAAACATTGATAATTTTCAAACACATCATTCAAGTTTTTCCACCTTAAACGGTGAAATAATTATAGAAAATTAGAAATATCACGTAATAGATTTTTGTTTTCAAGTGTAATTCGGACTTATTCCCTACAGGTAAATCCGTAACGTAACGGCAAACGGTATTTAGCTGGGTTTTCGAAAAGGTCAATTAACCAATCATATACGGTTTACAGATCACATGCTCTTCCATGTACCGAAAACAGGTCACGTGCTCCTCCATGCCTCAAAAGTAAAACGCGTACCAATACCCTGCGGTCTCCAGACCGCAGGGAATAATGATTGAAGAAAAATATTATTCAGCAGTAACAAAAAACATTTCTGTTTAAGAATGTTATGTGAATAAAAGTTTGTACCATTTTAAAATGAAATTTACATCAAATACCAACTGGAAACAAGTCCACAAGTATTTCACAATATTGAATAAAATCACTTAAAACACAGTTAAATATAGATAAATATATTCAAAATTCTGACATTTTATTCAAAAGCTTTGAATAATGCAAGAAATTTCCATGCAGAAAATATCAAGTGAGTGTTACAGTTGATAAGGCATGATTAATGCATTTTATGTAATATTGTGTAAAGTGGATGATGATATGAACGAAAAATACAAGTATTGATAATTCAATACAAAACTGGTCAATATACAGAATCAATCATTTTTAGACCACACCTTATCATAGAATAATGTGAAAAATATCAATTTTTTTTTTCTTTATATTTATCAAAATTTAGTTTAAAAGCATTAAAACACAATTGTGATGAAATATTTTAAACTTATTTTGATCACTCTTGAACCAAACAGTACTGGTGTGGTGGCTAGCATACTGGACCGGCAATCCACTGAGACCTGTGGTTCGAGTCCCGGCTGCAGTCATAACTCAAGTGGGCTTAAACCTTTAAGTTGACAGGCAGGAACCTTAATCACTAATATATATTTTATTTGCTAAATTTACAGTTTATTGTACCTTTTATATGTCCTATGAATCACCAATTAAATGTAAACATGTTAATTTTTTAAAAATTAAATTCTGATGAAGCCGGGGGTAAAGGTGTACAGACTTAAATAAAAAATATAAATTTTAAAGGTTACCTTTGGATTAATCTTGGGTGGTGAGATACTGATAGGAGAAAGTTCTATTCCGCTGTCAGCCGGACTCTCCCGTTTCTTCCACGACGTTGGCGTCTCATTGGCTTGATATTTTGGAATGTCATGCACACGTTTAAACAACGGTGATTCTTCGTGTCTTGGCGAGTCGATGTTGGCCACTGCAGGCGGACGGCTAGCCCGCGATGGGAAATCTCCATGAAGTTCCTTCACTGGACTCGAAATATTAGATTTAATCGGTGAGGCATCCGGCGATTTAGATTCAACCGGACTACGTGTTTTTCTTGGCACTGTGCCTTTCTTTGCACCAACATTTTCATTTGAATTTCCATTGAAAGTAATATTTGTTGAGTGAATAATTTCCATCATTCTTCAATAAATAAATATATGAACTTTTTACTTTTTCACAAAGTAATTTCTCATTTCACTATTATTGCCATTTTAACACTTTCATATAAAACGTAACACCCTTATCAAAAAATTAATCTTAACTTTAAAGTCTAAAGCTGTATTTGAAAATCAACAACAATTCATCGAAAGTTATACAAACTACTCATATTAAAGTGTGTTTCCCTTTAAACCACATGGTTTCTATAATATAACAAAATTCTTTGGCATGTAAGAATATTAATCTGTTAATCCATTTTTTAATTCCTTTCACAACTCAGGCAATGCCACTTTTATTTTATTCTTATTACTTTTGTATGGTTCCTTTATATTTGTACATGTATTTATACATTAATCCTATTACCAAATCAATACAGACAGGAAAATTCACTTGCTACTACAAATAGTATGGGTATGGTTTTTAGATTACCATACCAAAGGTCACGACCCATCAACCTTTTAAAAAAAAGTGTTTTGATTTTTTTTTAACATCAATATATATGACACTTACGAATTAAGAAAACAGGGTACTTGAAAGTTATTGAATAAATTCTGCAGTTCAATAAAATCAACTGATAACATGGTAAGATAGATTAGAGCTTTACCGTAGATAAGATAATATTTGTACACTACTTATTTTCTCCAATTTAACACATCTTGTGATTTTGTAACTTAATACCTTGCAATTCATTTTAAAATCTACTATCCTTAAATAAATTCTTTCTAGTAATCTTAATCACTTACTCCTTTTTAATTTTATTCATAAATTATACAAAAAAAATCAAGGGAAGTAACTACTTGCAGAGTGGAAGTCAATATTTGCCTATAGCTTTTCTTTGTAAGTCTGGCTATTAACCACCAGCCTGAAAGATAATCAACAGTTTTTGTTTTTTTATTTTTCAAAGATTTTTAACATATTGTTATTTTTCATTTCAGAAATCAATATCTCCTAGAATGCAATTTTGTGTTAAGGTATTGTTTTTTTTTACTTGAATTATAAGCCTTTCAGGAAATAATTCAATAAAAATATACCAATAAAATTTTCAGACATTATATTTTGAATTACAACATGTAAAGGAGTTGCCCTTCTAAATACTAAATGTATTGTAATTAATGTCTCATCAGCTCAAGATATAATACATCAACATTCTAAATATATGATAAATCTGACACAGACATCAAAAGCACACTTTTGAACAGAGGAAATCTGTTGCTATATATCTTTACAATTTAATACATACTAAGGCTTTCCCTACAGAACAAGAAAAAACATTGGATACTAAACAAAAACTAAGCTCTTGGCTGCCCAATTCATGTTCAGAGTTATCATAACTTCCAAACAATTGTTAATTAAGCTTAACCCTAAACTGCTAATTTTAGTAATGTATTTGTCCTGCTTTGAATTTAAACAATTGCATTTTAAGTTGAAGGGATTTTAATATCAAAATACACAAATTAAGATACCAACAGCATCGTCACATTGTGCAGATAAATTTCCATGGTTACTGACAGAACTTTCCTTGGCTTCACATGAGCTATTTATCATTCATGCAAAGTTTACTATAAAATTGAAAGGAATTGTGGCAAAATGTAAACTTATGATATTCCACTGTTCACTCACTATATACACTTTGATGGGCAGAATGTCATTTATATGGAAAGTTCCGGAAGTCAGTCAGACAAATCTATTGAAGAAATTCAAGAGGTTTAATGTTAAATTAATTCAGCACAATGAGAAACAACATAAAGTAATTTGGTAAGCTCAAGCTGCCTGTGAAATTACTGATTTCTGCTGGAGAAGTTACTTCTAGCTTCTAGCTTCTTCTGCTAAACCATGATTAATTACTTACTGCTAGCTACACTTAAACTTTCACCAGCAACATATAGGCTGAGCAATTGAGTAGCAGTCAAACAGAAGAAAAAACAAATATTCACAGTACAAAATTTTTACACTTTACTTTACAAAACATATAGAATATTACAATGCATCAAACATATAAATATGAACTTTGTGATCACCCCCGGCAGCAAGGGCAGGTAACTTCTGGTGCCAGCTGATACTGTATGTAATCGGTTGAGATATTGTCAGGGGATTCTACAGGAAAAAAATGAAAAGAAAAGTATCATGAGTTGATACAAAGTAATAACTCAACAATTCAGAGTCTTTACAGAATTATTTAATTTATCACATCTTTTAGTATATTATGTGAAAAGGCAAGATTTTAGCATTTAATTATTCAAGTGCCTCGTCCGGTATATACCGGAATACAGTATTAAGTGTGGTGCTCCAACGCTTTTCTTTGATATCACTCTATACAGCTTGAATTCAAGTTTAAACATACAGACAACTCAATCATATATAAAAAAACATTAACTTTTTTTATTACCTCCCTTGAATTGAAAGTTGTAAAATTCAGTGAATTCTATCCTTTTTTTAAATACGAAAACAAAAAAACTTGGAAAATTTCAGAAATTGGGCAAGTCTGTATTATCATTGTTCAAATAAGACAGTAACAATAGATTTCAAAATGCAGTATTTATTTAGAGGCGATAGAAGCACAGGATTGACTGAAGTCTTTAAATTTAAATTTTTAAACCACACAAACACTGTGAAGGTCAAAACACTATGATTACATTCCAGCTCAAATGTCACAGGAAGATTACAGGTACCCCTTTCATGTATTCTTTACCTGCACAAGCATGCAAGCAAGTAAAGCCATTAACCTTCCGTTTGCTAGCTTGTGAGGTGAGCCCAAGTGATATGAAGTCAGTCGTTTTACGCTCAACGATAAACAGAACTAATCATCTTTATTTAATCTTTGCAATGATTTTATTGGAAAAAGGTAGGTAAATTCTCAACACTTTAAATGATATGAATACAAAATGTACATTTTGAAAGTACAATATCATGAACATTTCACAAAAATGAAAGTTAACAAAATGTTTCGATGAATAATTGCACTAACCTGTTGATGTTTTGTATTGAACACTTTGATCTGGCGGCCTGGTCTCCCTACAGTCGCAACGAGGGAATCGTGACATTTTGCCCATCGGAAATGTCTTGCACCTTCTACATGTATCTGACGTCTTTCTACTGGACGACTGATGAATCACAATATATCTTGATCAATTATTCATAAACACTAAAATGTGAACAGACTCAAATGTGCTCTGGTTCAGAAAGTGATTGTTTAAATGATGCATCATAGCATACACATTATGTTAAGGAACTCCACTGAGGTTCACATAATTCTACTTTAACATACATTTTAAAATTTCCATTAAAATTAGTTTTAATCTCAAGTCATGCTGCTTTCAGGCTTAATGGGCCTTAAAATTCATTAATAAAATCAAATTCACAATTAGTCATTGAAAGAATCATTAAACAATATGAAGGTCAGGAAGGCAGCACTTTTATATTATTCACGATACATGAAGCATTTTATATGCAGGGATGCTGTCTTACTGATGTAAAAGTTGTATTCACTTATTAAGAACCTCCATTCCTATGAATTATATCTTTTTTTAGAATAAAGTAATTTAGTGCATTAGTACATGTTCATCAAATAAAGCCATGTGTTTACTTTTTGTTCTTTAAGTATAAATCGCATTGCGTAAAACATGACCATAGATCATTCCAGACATGTACTAGCAATGAGTCTATCAAATGACTTTCCTTAGAAATTAGTCAATATCTTTGACAGAATTGTTTGTTAAGTAATTCATAAGTCAACGAAAAATATTTCTAACAACACAAGTCTATACATATAAACTTACCTGGACACGGAAACATCAAACATAAACCAGTCTGTCCCCGCGACAGCCCCTATAAGGAGCCCTTTATTCCCTACACTCCAATCAGCTTCCATCAATGGTACCTGTCCTGTATCAAAAGACATCAACTGTTGTTGTCCACTCAGACTGAATATTTTTATAACCCCATCTTTCTGACCCACCATAACCTGTATAGTAAAATAACTGTTTATCAAAATCATGACTGGAATGTTTAGACAGTGTTGTCACTTCTTCATTACTTTCAATATCAGTTACAATGTCAGGAAAGAAACTTTTACTTTATTGCTCAATCATTATTAATTGTAGTTTTTTTTCCTTTCTTTACGGCAAACCAACACATTTTTTGTCATATGGTGCATTATTTGTAGTCTTTAATAAAGCTTCACAAGTGTATTTTACTTCATAAAATTTTGATTATCATGATCAAAGCTCAAATTAACTTTCCAGTGAGCATATATCACAACCTTTGTGCAGTAACAGGTTAACTACTATAAAATTATTAGAGATGTCATCTGGAGCCGAAACGGCCATCCGGATATCCGAATCAAACATCCGGATACATCCGGATGTTCGGATCGTTGTTATGTTCTTAGATGTCTGATATGACGTAACCATTTTTTCGCCACCCTTTTCAAAGTGTAGTATTTCGTTTTTCTTCCTTTTTAATTGAATGATACATATCAAAAATTTTCCGTTATTGATTTTATTTCTTCTATATAGAATACGACTAGCTGTTATCAATAAATTTAGTGTGTGTGGTACTTACGATTTCAAATGAAATGAAAACGAAATTCGCCGCCGATTGTCTAAATTCCATAGCGCTATAATACGCAATAAAATTCACTCACATTTGTGAAAACAAAATAATACCCGTAAAAATTAAATATAATGTTTCCATTGTTCAATAACACGCATACAATTTACACACGATGACATTTGACACACGTGTAGCCGGCTTTTCAAAAGAATCTGCCAATCTTTGATGTTTACCATCATGTAGCCCTGGCTGTTTGATTCGAATCTTCAAAGAAAGTGCAGAAACTTACATGAATTACACACATTTTAAGTGTTCATAAGTGAAAAAAGAAATGTGAAAAAAAAATGTTTTAAAAAAAATGCACATGTTTGATTAATACTAAAGGAGAAAGTTATTTTGTCGGATAATTTTCGTATCAATTTCAATAAAAGCTGTGATAATTAACATATAATTTGTAACTGCATTTCTTTATTTGCTTATTTTATTTCTGCAGATTTTATATTGTCTCAAAATAAGGAGTCGACGGGTCGGTAAGCCGAAATATATATAAAAATAATAACCTAATTAAATATTTAAATTTGGACATAAAAAAATGTAACATCGTTGCTGATGACAGTCGCACGGGACTTAGAATATCCATCTTGAATCTTACAAAACTTAAATTTGATTAACAACATGTGTCATAATTGACTCGTAATTATTATAGTAATTATTGATTTTTTGTGGTCTGCAGAGATTATGATGTGTATTGTCAAACTAAGGTACAATATACAATATGGTGTCAACACCATGTCTA